GCTTCCGCGATGGCCAAGGCAATGGCTAAACCGTCTCTGGTGCTGGTACCACGGCCTAGTTCATCAATCAGGACCCTTTGTGTTATCAGTGCTTTCATGATATGTACACAGAGCCTACGTTCTTACAAGCTACGCCTGTCGACATTACGTAGGATGAAAGTTATCTCTTTCATCTCCGTAGCAAAAGTGGACACGTTGGTTTCGATGCTATCATCCATACCTAATCTAGCAAACAGCTGATGCAGAATGGGAAACGAGCCATAATTGGCAGGAACGCTGAATCCGGTTAGCATAGAGAGACCTGGAGGTAGAATGAGAGATACACACTAGCAGCCAATCTGAGCCATGATGGTCATCAAAGCCACCGATCGGATATAGGTGCTCTTTCCGCTCATGTTGCAACCAGTAATTATTTGGAAGCGTGTCTGCTGTGTAGCGTAAACATCGTTGGGAACAAATTTGTTCTGCATGATTTTCTCCTTGATCGGGTGCCGTCCCGCCTCGATAGCCAGCGTCTCAGTGAGTTGTGGCTGAGCTGAGCAAATGTCAGCGCCGTGTGCATTGAGCACGACGGAATAGAAGCCACTCGCTATAGTTGTTCACTGTTACCAGATACGCGAAAGCCGCAACCTGTTCTTCATTAGCCCTGTCAGCAATGTGAATTGCTGAACGATGCACACCATATCTAGCATCGCCACTGCTTCGCAGATTTTGAACATGATGGACATATGGCTGCGGACTTTGTCGACTAGAGCCTCTACAGCTTCATCGCCTGATGGTTATTAGTGATCACACAGGTCGATGTTTGTGACTTTGGCTGTACTCATGAGGATTACTTCTTGGTGGGACACAGCAATCTTGGGACAGTTAGTAACGCTTCAAGTCGTTTGTACATGAACACATGCTTTCTGGTTACGCTTCATAAGCTCTAGTGTCTGGCACTCGACGTGTTTCTTGCGGCGAATCACGTTGGTGAATATTGGTGGTAATGCTTTGCCTTCCAGCTCGGATGTTGCGATCTTCATGTAGAACTGGCGCGCGGTGTCATATTTGAGGTCGAGTCGGATATCGTGCTCGTCTTCTAGAAATTAGTGAGTGCACTCACCCAACAGAATAGACTGTACCTCACGACTGAGCTCAGTTGAGTGCTGGTACGCGTCTTCGGTGGCTTCTTTGTAAGTAGTGCGTGCAACGTCAAGCAGGCCATTGACACCTGATTTCACGGCATATGTACGCTGATTTCTCAGTTCGAGAGGTTGCCTTGCATATGTAGTGTCCTCGTTGATGACGTGATCGATGAGCTCCTGTATAGGCGCGACGTTTTCTGGTGCACAGATCTCGCGGATGTTGTTCAGCATTACAGATCCCGTTCCAGTGAGCGCTTCGAAGACAGGGCGTACAGAGTTCACAAATTGCTTGAGCATAATAATGTGATTGATGGACTGTTCAGTTGTATGAAGAGTGATCTTGCTTGGTATAATGATCAGCGCAGTCAGTATGCGGTCAGCATCGAGGAAGTTCTTCAATGCGGCCCGGGTCGCAAAAAAGAACTCTTCCTTTTTGATCAAATCGTCCACTGCAGCATATCGCGTGTTAAGTACTTCTGGATCAGTGAGTGGCTGTAAAACGTTGTTCCGGAGAAGCCGTGCACCCATGGGTGTCAACGTTTCGTTGAGAAGGCCGAACAGACAGTCTCTTGACTTCGGATCGCGGAGGTTCTGCACCAATTCGAGCGAGTAGATGGTGGACACATCGATCATCATCGATCCTTCTGAAGGCTCATATCTCATCCGAAGCGAGTGAAGGGAGAAGACCATACCCAGGCCCAGGTCGATGTACTTGAGCGCCTGTGAGGTTAGCTACAGTATGCACCGAGAAGTGCAATGGAGAACTCACTGCTGCAATGCAGCACACCGCATAGTAGTTGCCAGTGACAGACATCTTAATAGCTTCTACATCCTCTTTAAAAGCTAGAGATTGAATGTATTCGTATCCAGTCGACTCGGCCCAATAGCGCCGATCAAGCAAAGTCAGCTTGCTGCCGATATCCTCAAGGTTCTCTTCAATGATTGAGAAGAGCTTCGACCTAGGACTCGCGGCAGTGGAAACGATCAGGATCTCGGATGGACCATAGACCTTCAGTTTATGGACAGTCCGGACGAAAGTTTGGCTGTCGCAGATTTGACAGAGTACTGCTTCTGCTGTGTCGAGATTTACGAAAGCCAAGCCGACGGTAGGTGAGATACCACGAGACTCCGCAATGGCACAAACAACATTCTGAGCCTCGACCCTAGTGATAGTAGAGGCGCCGGTCCTTGGTCGTGCAGTTGATGGCCTACCTGTGTTTCTGCGGGTACTTGGACGGGACGCAGTAGTGATATTATTATAGTCACCATATCCGTAGTACCCATACGGCGTGGACGCAGATGTACTCTGGGAAGTTGATGGCCTTGATCGCTGGAACATGATTATTAGTGCTGAGAGATTAGCCGTTGAGCATTTGCGTAAACCATGAGCTCCAATGATCGGAGGGTGTCCTCGCAACAGTCGAAAGGAAGAGCGGAAGGAGAGAAGGAAGACGCGTCGAGGGGAAACAGCCTAGCGCGCCGCCCCACTGCTGCTAGCGCGCCTGCTATCGATAACACCCAGAAATTATTTTCCCGTTCTTGTACCAGCGGGGCCGTTCAAAGCAAGAGACAGCTTCACCACTTCACCTGTTGACCCTGGATCCGTACTGCAGAGTAATTGAAAGATGGCGACCCAGTATCCACCCCCGTCGAAACGCCAGAAGCGGGCGCAAGCCGAGATTGCGCGCCAACAACAAGACATTGACACTACGATACCCGATGGCACAGTACGAGTGCGCTTCGTCGACCAAGCCACGGGCGAGAGTGGCAGTATTCCAGTGCTCACTGTACCGCTATCGCAAGCGTCGACTAAAACCTCGAGCTCTTGCTCAACAATCTAAAAGACCAAGCGGATGATCAGATACCGTACCGCTTCTTCCCCGATGGCGCAACCGAAGCGCTCGCCGACAAGGACGACTTATACAATGCCTTGGTCAAGCCCGGCAAGGCGTCAGCGGAAAATGAGATTGTGCTCCAGTATGCGCCGCAAGCAGTCTTCCGGGTCAAGGCTGTTTCACGTTGCTCAGCCGCGGTTTCAGGTCATGGCGACAACATTCTGACAGTCAACTTCTCGCCAGTCAGCTCCAGCAGGATGGCGAGTGGTAGCGGAGACAAGACAGTAAGAGTATGGGACTGCGACACGGGAACACCAGTGCATACCATGAAGGGACACTCAAGATGGGTTCTGGCAGTCAGCTACTCGCCTGACGGCTCCCTGCTCGCTTCTGGTGGCTACGACAACGAAGTGCGGATATGGGATCCAAGCACTGGAAAGCAGATTGGACCTGCTCTCAAAGGTCACACCAGCTTTATCACATCACTCTCCTGGGAACCCTACCACCTACAAGAGGCTGGTCGGCCACGAGTAGCGTCTTCGTCAAAGGACGGTACAGTAAGAGTGTGGGATGCGGTGGGTGGCAGGATTGACTATGCCTTGTCTGGTCACAAGGGCAGTGTGACATGCGTCAAGTGGGGTGGTACTGGACGGATATATACCTCGTCTCACGATAAGACCATCAAGGTCTGGGATGCTGCGAAGGGCACGCTCGTCGACACACTATCAGGACACGCGCATTGGGTCAATCATCTTGCTCTCTCAACAGACTTTGTCTTGCGCACATCGTATCACGACCATACACGAAAGGTACCTTCTAGCCCTGAGGAGAAGCTCGCCAAAGCCAAGGCGCGCTTTGAAAAGGCTGCTACCATCAACGGTGAGGTGGTGGAGCGCTTAGCGACTGCTTCTGAAGATTGTACGATCATACTATGGACGCCTTTGACTAGTAAGAAGCCAGTTACAAGAATGACAGGCCACCAAAAGCAGATCAACCAAGTCACCTTCTCACCGGACGGTGCCCTCCTGGCGTCTGCAGCATGGGACAACCATGTCAAACTATGGTCAGCACGGGATGGGAAGTTCCTCAATACGCTGAGAGCGCACGTTGGCCCGGTATACATGACCTGTTTCTCTGCCGACAGTCGATTGTTGGCGAGTTGCAGTAAGGACACGACGCTGAAGGTGTGGGACATGAGGACTGGTAAATTGAAGGAGGATCTGCCTGGGCACAAGGACCAGGTGTTCGCCCTAGACTGGAGCCCAGATGGCGAAAGGGTAGGAAGTGGTGGCGCCGATAAGCAAGTCCGGATATGGAGCAACTGATTGAGGTATGAACACAGTAGGATGGTAGAAGCTGAAATGATACCCCCTTGTGCGAACTAGTATACCGACTATGTGCTCCTGGTGATCTGTAGTGATTGCACTAACAAGCGTTGGCCCGGAGCTAAGCGTGAGCTTCGATGTCTGCAATTCTTGGAACTGGGATTTCATAGAGAACGCTAGAAGTTGGAAGTAAGGCTGAAGCGGTGGCTAATGTGGTGGCTGACGTGGTGTGGGCCACTCGGTCAACTGCCACGATCGCCCGGATATCGGCATCCCCGCAATATTATGCCAAGCCGTCGAAGCAGGCACTCCCAGTGGCCTGATAGACGCGTAACTGCGGACAGGCACAACGTCATCACAGGAAAGCACTCGGTCATGCACAGGGCCTGTTCTTCATCACGGATCTTCGGCGCTGCAGCTGCAAATGATACGGATCCAGCGTGTGTCAAGTGGAGCTTCAAGGACAGGTTATGCGCCATTCCCTTGCTTGTACCTACGTCAATTGTGAATAGAACAGAACATTCCCTGTCTTCGCGCTTTTCCTGTTTCCTCCCTATGCGACAGGTTTCACGAACATTCGCACGACTTACTATCTCTCACAACTAATGAATTCATGACTTTTCCCCGCCGCCAACCACTAATTGCACAGGTCAGCCCCTCGCTACGAACGACCTTCACAAACACCGAGACAACCCACTGCGCACTGCTACATCATGTCCGGCGTCGAGGACGTAGATGCCCAGCGTAAGAACTACCGACGACCGCACAACGCGCACAATCCGATACCCACGGTCCAAAAATACCGTGAGGAGAAGCAGAGAAGACAAGACGAGTATGGCCATCCAGATGGCGCAAGTAACGAGCCAAGCACACGCGACCGGCTGGGGGATGCCGTCAACGTCTTCAGGCATGGTAGAGATGTAGAGCTGGACAATGATGGCAATGGGCCGTATCAAGCTAGGAACAAGAACATCGAGCAAGACGAGCAAATTGCAGACGATCACGCCGGAAAGAACACACCCGAGCAGAAAGACCAAAATCTGGCGAAAGATCAGGACGACGAAGATGGACTACAGGACACAACAGAGGATGGCATGATATCCTCAGATCCTAAGCAGGCCCGAAAGGATATGAAGAAGTTCAAAGCCGATGGTGCAGATCGCGAAGTCACCGACCCCATCACCCATCTACCTATCCAAATCCACGACTATACAGATCGAGAGCTAAAGAGCACTGCAAAGAACCCGCCGCCTGTAGGGTCAGACCCACGCACCATGACTGGCAAAGACGCCATCAACAAGAGCGATGAACATCTCGAAGATGAATGGCAGGAATCACAGGACTCACATGTTGGTATGCAGGCCTTGTTTCCACCTCCGTCCTTTGACAGGACAAGAAGCGAGATCACGACCGTTTATATGCAGGCTGTGACTGTTGGCGTAGGAGCAGCTGCAATTAGCTTGATGTTGGTCAACACACTATTCTGGCCCACGCGCCATGCGACAGGCTGGGGAAGACAGTTATGGAAGGCTACTGAACTCAGTACTATGGCAGTCATCTCCACGGCCATCATACTCTTCATGCGACAGTGGTCAGAGAACAAGATCAAGAATGTGTGGGATGCTGAGGTTTGGCAGGCAGAACGACAAAGGGGCCAGAGATTGGCCAAGACCCAAACTGCTGAAAGTACACAGTGGCTGAATTCGCTATTTGCTTCCGTATGGCCGTTGATTAACCCGGATCTGTTTACGAGCATTTCGGATACACTTGAGGTATGGGCTTGACAGCATATTCAGTACGCAAACTAACTTTTGTAGGATGTCATGCAAGCTTCCCTCCCCAGTATGGTTCGCATGGTCGCCGTCGAGGATCTTGGTCAGGGTAGCGAGGCCCTCCGCATCCTCGGTGTTCGATGGCTTCCTACAGGTGGGGCTGCTAGATCAGTGGGCTCTGACGGAAATTTGAAGTCTCCTGACGAGGAGAAGGGCGACCGGACTGTCGAAGAGAGCGATGACAGCGGTGAAGGCCAAGATGACCAACCACAGCAAGACACAATGGAGGCTGAAGATGGAGACTTCGTAAACGTGGAAGTTGCCTTCGCATACAGACCATCAACAGGAAAGGGCATCAAGTCACGCGCCAAACATGCTCATTTACTGTTGGCATTCTATATGCCAGGTAATATCAAGATACGTAAGTTTTGTCTTCCCAAGCATCCCTCATTTACTTACACATCTTAGCGGTATGGGTCGACCTCGCGGGCGTGGTTGGTGTCATGCGCTTCCGTCTGCAGCTGTGCCCTGATCCTCCGTTCTTCTCAGTTTGCACCATGTCCTTCATGGGGCAACCCAAAGTCACGCTATCATGTGTGCCACTAATCAAGAAAGGACCCAACCTCATGGACGTGCCTCTCATCTCCAGCTTCGTGCAGTCGTCCATGGACGCAGCATTGGCGGAGTATGTCGCGCCTAAATCTCTTACCTTGGACCTCAAAGACATGTTGATGGGCGACGACTTCAAGAAGGACACAGTCGCACAGGGTGTTATCATGGTACGTATCAAATATGCGTTCGACTTCAAAGAGGGCGATACAAAGATCGGTCCTTTTGGTGGCTCCGCAGACCCCTATGTGAGCGTGGGATGGGCCAAATTCGGGAAGCCGCTCTGGTCGACGCGTGTTCTCCAGCAAAACATGAATCCCCATTGGGACGAACATTGCTTCGTCTGTGTTACCTTTGACCAGTTGAATGTAGATGAGAAATTGAGGCTGCAGTTGTGGGATTCTGACCGTTCAACTGCCGACGACGACCTGGGACGCATCGAGGTGGACCTCAAAGAGTTGATGAAGAGTGATGAGACGAACGGAAGAATGCACGATCGCGAGGACGGCTTCAGAGCCCTCAAGAGTGGAGATGATATGCCTGGAAAACTGAGCTGGAGCCTGGGTTACTTTTCGAAAACCAGAATCACTGATGACCAGCTTACTATGCAAGACGAGGACCCCGATGTCGAAAACATAGACCAGTTGAAGAAGAAGATGTATAAGGAGGCAGAGGACAAACTTCGAGAGGCGAGTGAGGATCACCGAAAAGAAGTGGAACAGCAAAAGTCCGAAGAGTTCAAGAACCGTCAAGATCAGCTTATCATCGCGTCCCCACCCTCCGAAGACTATCCATCAGGTATTCTCAGCATCCAGATCCACCAGATCACCGGCTTGGAATTGGAAACACTGAACAAGCAGAAAGACTCTGCGAACGCAGAGGCAACAGACGAAGAAGAAGAAGGCGATAGTCTGCCCTCTGCATATTGTACCATCATTCTCAACCACAAGAAGATCTACAAGACGCGTACGAAGCCGAAGAACTCGAAGCCTTTCTTCAACGCGGGCTGCGAGAGATTCATCCGAGATGTACGCAATACCGAAGTACATGTTGCCGTTCGTGACGCTCGTATACACGAAGACGACGCCTTGCTCGGTATCGTTTATCTGCCTCTAGAAAGAGTGTTTCGGAAGCGGAGCCAGATAAACCACATGTTTCCACTGGCCGGAGGTGTGGGATACGGCCGTATAAGAATCTCTATGGTCTTCCGAAGCGTGCAAATCCAACTACCGAGAAACCTGGTTGGTTGGGATTACGGAACTGTGGACCTCAAACCCTCTATAAAGGCTATTGATCTTCCGGAGGACCTAAAGCCTCTTCGGCTCAAGGTCCGTACGCCACTGGATCGCGCAAAGCTACACTCGCGGGGACGGAATGGTAGAGTCCGCTCAGAAGACGGCCAGACCGTCTGGACTTCGAGGAAGGACAAGTCTATCCGCTTACCTGTGCGCGCCCGCTACTGTACGCCACTCGTCTTCGAATTTAGACAAGATGCTACCTTCCGAGACCACACCCCGGGTTTCGGTATCCTCTGGCTCAAGGATATTCCCGACAATGAGGAGCAGACAATACGTGTCTCTATCTGGAAGGGTGACTTGGAGCGCGCAGAGAACAATGTGCTTGATTCATATGGTGAGAAGGTGGGCGAGATAGAAGTAACGTTGACGTTCTGGTCCGGTCTATCAGGATATCACGAGAAACTCGCAAAGGGCGATAAACACATTTCCAACGTTATGGAGGTTCTCGATGTCACCAACGACCAGGAGTGGTCCGACTGGGATGATTCGGATGGCTCCGATAAGCCCGGTATCAACGACAACAAGGAAACCGACAACGATGACTCATCATCGGACAGCTCAGATTCGGAAGACGACGGCGAAGATGGTGGTGACAAGAAGTTTGTACCAGACTTCCTCCAGGATGGCGGCAAGAAGATCGATTCGAAGCTGAGCATACAGGGCAAGGGTGGCCCTATCAGCAAGATAAAAGACTACAAGGAGAATGCGAATCAACTACATCGCAAGAACAGGGGCATGATGCAGTGGAAGGGCCCACGGACGTTGGCTTGGATGAAGCACGTAGGTGATCGTGGAAAGAAGAAGGTGGGAAATATGTTCCATCATCATGAGAGGAGTGGAGCGGGTGTTGAGACAGAGGCTTAGCATAGACCATAATTGTTACATAGCGCGTGCGTCTGGCGTTAACTCACAGGAGCTATGTATACTAGCAGTATTCGTTTATTATGCACAACTAGGTTGACTTGCTCTCAACCCAATCTTGAATCTCAGCAAAGTCCCTCGCCCATACAACACCCCACTCATCAGCCTCTCGGTAATCTTTCAATCGCGGACATGATACACCTAACCTCGTCAACGCTTCTGCAAGTTTCTTCTGTGAACTTCCCATGGGATCATCTCGGATGCAAATACCTAGGTTAGCTGCAAGTAGACATTCGATGTCTGTCCAGCTATCACCCACATACACCTTTTGACCTCTGAACTCTTGCATGCGCTCCATCTGCTCAAGTTTGTCTCCACTAGACATGATGAGACTTCCACCATTGTTCGTAGCCGGAACAATAACACCGGTAGACTGTTCTCCAGAATCCACCTTGTCGAGTTCATTGGAGAAGACGGAGTAGGTAGGTACACCATGGATACCCGAAGCTCCAAGGCAGGACTGAATGAAGTGGCGAGACCAGTTAACACTAAGAAGCACAAAGCCATCATTCTCGCGATCGTCATGAATGTGCTTGAATAACTCAGAGAAACCATTGCGCAGCTCTGTCGCACGTGAGTCGATGGCCTGTCTTGCTCCAGCTTCGATGACTTCTCTTGTTAAGCCAGCGAAAATACCAGATGAGGATACGCGGCTGAGACTGCGCTGTTCTACAGGTTTCATCTGGGCAAGAAGACGCTTCTCTCCTGATACTGTGGTGGGGAGCTTGTCTTCTGGGGCGATTTGGGCCAGTGTGGCTGTGTAGTCGTCCATGTAGGCTTTTGAGACATTGTTCCAATGGTCCTGGGTAGGGAAATCGGGTTTTATAGCGGCGGAAATGCTGACCAGGGTATCTAGGGTATCTTTTCGGGTGACGGTACCGTCCCAGTCGAGGATCCAGTGGATTGGTGAGGCTTTGTTGAATGGAGGTTTGGTGGATGTGGACATGGTGGTGTATGGTGGGAAGGTGGAGGGGATCGCTATCTGCAATGGACGGCGGAATGTAGCTAATAAGGCCAAGGTACGGCTGAGTGTATGTAGAGACATGCGATAAAGTGATGGTTGTTCGCAAGGCTGATGTTTGAAATGATCACTATTGCCCTACAGCATTCCTAGGTATGGCTGCGAGCTACACCACCTGGGCAGCTCCGTCCTTCGGCAGCCCCCACCATGCTGCAAGCCTCAAGGGGCGCGATGCGTTAACAGAGCGGAGACGTAAGATACTACAGTGTCGTCGCTGCGCACATGACTGGCTATGTAGAGTATTACAGAAGCCGTCAAAGGTCATCGCAGTACATGACGAATACAGGCTATTGGAGCCGACGTTATGGTGGTGCTGTCGGAGTTTGCGATGCTGTGATTGCTCGAGCAGGCGGGAAAATGGCGCAACGCGTCGAGACACGAAGAACAGGTAACTTTTACCGGCAACACGCGCCATGTCTATCACGTCGGTCAAACTTCATCACCAAACCCAACTTGTCCCTGTTTGCGCATTCTCGCGATCCTTTTCCCGTACCCGTTCGCAGCAGACCAGCGCACCATGTTCCTCCCGCGGCCACGAGCCAATGGCAGCGGCGCTATATGCATAACCCGCCCGCAACCGAGGCGCTCGTTGGTCGCATTCCTCTAAAGGCATCTTGAGGCGATAACACCAGTTGCTCTTACGAAGGCTGTCTCCTAAGTACAGTTGGAGGCGATCCACGGCACAACCCTCAACCAAGCTTGAAAATAAGAAGCCCGCCGCGTCTGCTTTTGTTTTTACATTCTTAACTCACACTCTTGAGCAACAAAGATAGTCTCCCCACTACCCCACGTTAGCATCAACACCGTCCATCATGGCTCCAGGCGCAATTCAGAATGACACTGCAGCAGCAAATGGAAGCGGCACCGCTCTGAAGCCAACTGCCCGCTCTTTCCACCCTACAGGCACCCCAGATCCCTCCAAGTACCACGCGTCGTCCTCGCAGGCCGCCATCAAGACAGAGGCCGACTTCGCAGCGCACAACTACCACCCACTTCCAATTGGTATGCACTCAACACGACTTCTTTGTGGAACAGGATTAACACAGACCAGTCTTCTCAAGAGCAAGTGGATGCAGCGTTTGGGACCCCGAGGGCAAGCACTATCTCGACTTCCTGTCCGCTTACAGCGCCGTCAACCAGGGCCACTGCCACCCCGAGCTTGTCAAGGCTCTCACCGAGCAAGCTTCGCGCTTGACCCTCAGCAGTCGCGCCTTTTACAACGATGTCTTCCCTCGCTTCGCCGAATATGCCACCAAACTGTTCGGCTTCGACATGATCCTACCCATGAACACTGGCGCAGAGGCGGTTGAGACAGCAGTCAAGGTCGCACGTAAATGGGGCTACAAAGTCAAGGGTATCCCGCAGAACGAGGCACTGGTCTTCTCTGTAGAGGAGAACTTCCACGGCCGAACAGTATGCATGCTTGCTCGTTTTTCAAACCTCAACTAACACTCTGGTAGTTTGCCGCGATTACCATGTCCACTGACCCCGAGTCTCGCGACAACTATGGCCCATACCTCCCCGGTATTGGAAGTGTGTGCCCTGCCACCGGCAAACCAATCCGCTACAACAACATTGAAGATGCGCGGGAAGCATTCGAGAAGCATGGAAAGAACCTAGCTGCCTTCCTGGTCGAGCCTATCCAGGGTGAGGCTGGTATCGTGGTTCCAGATGATAACTACCTTCGGGAAATCAGGGCACTCTGCGACAAGCACAATGTTCTGCTCATCTGTGACGAGATCCAAACGGGTATTGCGCGGACAGGCAAGATGCTTTGCCATGAGTGGAGTGGCATCAAGCCTGATCTGGTTTTGTTGGGCAAGGCCATCTCAGGCGGCATGTACCCCGTCTCGTGCGTCCTGGGCTCAAGAGAGGTCATGCTTACTATCGAGCCTGGTACTCATGGTTCAACATACGGTGGCAACCCTCTCGGCTCTGCCGTTGCAATCCGGGCTCTTGAGCTCATTGAGGAGGAGAACATGGTTGAGCGCGCTGAGACATTAGGCAACAAGTTCCGAGAAGGTCTCAAGAACATCAACAACCCTATGATCAAGATCATTCGCGGCAAGGGTCTATTGAACGCCATCGTTATTGATGAAAGCAAGACGAACGGACACAGCGCGTGGGATCTCTGCATGCTCTTTAAGGAGAAGGGATTACTGGTAGGAAGAGCCCTCAAGATTATGCATGTGAAAGAGGTTGACGGTGCTGACTCTGACGAACAGGCGAAACCCACACACCAGAACATCATCCGCCTTGCGCCGCCGCTCGTCATCACCGAAGAGGAGATTGCATCGGCTCTGTCAATTATCAAGGAGGCTATGGAGGAGCTGCCAAAGCTTAAAGGCGAGAAGGAGAAGGAAGTGCTTACTTCAGCTGTCGGACTTGAGAAGAACGTCCACGTAGGAGTGGATAACTAGGAATACGGTCTAGTTCCTTACGATACCCCATGAGACTGACTTGACGCTATGACCGCTACGAACTTGTAGGTAAATCATACCTGCGCTGTTGTGCCATTACAGAGATGTCTATATAGCGCGAGGCCCGGCATTTAGACGGTTCCGAAGCATTCAGTGGACTAGATCTCCCGATATGAGAATGTCATGACCTTACCGTCCATCGGACACCATTGACTTGATTGTGCCTTATATTGAATCCACAGTAATCATACTCACATCAGCATTCACGCTTTTTCCCGTTACTAGTGCTGATTGCGATGGCTACTACACACCTTACCTTTTTTCTGCTTTTGTAATCTCCGGCATAAGTAAACACCGACACTGCTTACCGGCCTTCCCCGCAGCGAGAAGATTTCTACGTCAGAAAACAAGACTCGCGACCATGTGAGGCCTCTTACACCGGCGGACCGACTCGCAAACCGAAACGTGCCTACGGGGTGGGGTAGCCAGACGTTCTGTGCTACATGCTCTCCAACAGCCGCGAGAGAGGTTTCATTTACACGCGCTGTGGGTTGCATGTGCCATATAGCAATATCGCGGATGCATGCTGCCAATTTGAACATCGTCTAGATGGAATTCTGGCAAAGTAGATACCCGGCAAGTAAAACATCAATGAATAGCCTCACATCTTGGAGAACTCACAGTATGAGCGCCCGGACTCTCATCCAATACTGCAGTCCTGACCGCAGTGCGCCCAGCTGGAGGGAAACTTCGTCCGTGCGGGCAGGTGACGGGTACGAGTAATCCATAACATGTCGGCATGTCGGGATCTAGGCCATTCTTTTTGCCATCGTTTCATCGACAAGCGATGGCCCCACTGTTGCCCGATCAAGGCTGCGTATCAATACATTCTTACGGCATCGAATCCGCAGACAGCAATTTCAAAGCAACAGTCGAGGAGATGCCATGGGAAAGACACGGCCTTTGCGCATTTATATAGACCGCATTTGTCATCTACAGCGCATTCTCTTCGCCAACCTGCAGCATCGTGGAGTTACTGCAGTGCTAATATCAAGCCTTTCGGGACATCGGATCGCATTATGTCCCGAAGGAATCGATCATTCTTGATGCTAGCACCCCCGGATTATAATGTGTGTCGGTTCGCACAAGCCGTTCATTGGCGAGTTTTTATGTCCGTTAGGACCATGCGCTAACTGTTGAGCGGGTGCATGCACTGATTTCATGACTGCTCCGAGGCCATATAGACTAGTCGTTGCCTGCCACTCGCAAACATGTCATCTTGCGAGACCTCGTGGCGTTGGTCGTTCCTTTCATTCACACCTAATACACCCTTCAACCTTACGGCTTCATAGTGACGTTCAGGAAAACAGTTGCCGAGATTTTTTTCATCGGCCCTTCGCAACGATCATCGCGATCCTTCCTCGGCGTTCGGAATTCAGCCGCTGAGCCGCCATGGCAAAATCACCATCATCGTCATCGTTGGATGAGAACGAGAAAGAGAA